AACTAGATTAACAGCTTCTGCTCCTATCTGAATCATTTTTACAAAATCAAAATCAGAAAAGAAAGGGGACAAGCAGCTAAGGAAAAACCATAGAAAATAAAAACAAGAGAATTACTGTGTCTCTCCCAAGAGCGGCATAATGCTGTAAACCATTGCAGGAACCATCCTGGCCAGAACCAAAGTGAAGGAAGGGAAGTTCAGTTTAAGGCACCCACAGATCGAAAGAGAAACTACAACGTGAAGTCATAAAAAAAATCAAGCCTGAAGGAGGAGATGTCAATGTGGTAACTTCTGCCAGAAAGTACCTGATGTACAGGAATATGTGAGAGGACTGTCTCCGGGGATGGACTTCTTAGAGCTTCAGTGAGATTTATGCACACAGCCAAGCACTGAAATGGGTCTTCTGCCTTTAGCCACCATCTGCTTCCTTCAAGCGGTCTGTCTGCCGAATCAAATATGTCATCCAAGTGATTTTCGGTGAAAGCTAGCCTTCCCTCATGTGATAACTTATCTACACCGCAAGCATACAAGTTTGCTAAGTGTATCTTCAGCCAGCGTAAGCCTGAACTTCCCAGAGGCCTTCCCTCAGCAAACTCCAAAACACCCCGACACAAATCAGAACCAAGATGATTTAAGTGTGGGGGCATGGGATATGCACGGCCGCGGAAGTCAACATTGTGGGGATAGTAAAAACCTTCCTCATCTTTCATCTTCCGTGCTACCTGCTCACAGTTAAATACTTACAAACAGAACTCTCAAAATGGTACATTACTTTGATGCCAAGGGGAGATAAAGCTCACCGAAAGCTTGAGTTCTATGTCACAGCGCTGAGAATGTCTCTCGCTGTTCTCCTTTTTAGCAGATTTGACTTCCCACCTCCATTTTTTAAGAATGCTCTCATCTTCAGTATCAGGCTTTTCTGGTACAGGAACCTGCAATTTGAAATTTAGGAAATTAAAGCGGCCTCGTGATGCACAAGATATCCAAAATATATCTGTGCCAACAATAACGAATTATCGTACAGAGGAAAAACAGTAATCATTATAAGATCAAAGTAATACATGGAGTAACTCACATCGCTGCGATCCACCAGATCAGCAGCACAGCCTCCACTGCTCCATATCCTATCCACAACAGTTAATACTCGCTTATTTACTCTCCACTTAGTACTTCCAAGCGTATCCAGGGCCTAACAAATGCACATAAGATATATTACAGTAATTAACAACTGTAACTGATTCCCCCACATAAAGCACGTGAAGAACCAGTGATCTCTGACCTCAAAGACTGGTTTTAGTTGTCCTTTAGGTGCGCTCTTAATTGCCTCTCCTTGTCGCTTAGCTCCATGAGTTTTCATTATATAAGACGCTAAGAACAAGTAAGCACCTTTGTCGTATCTGCGAAAGAACACAAAATGAAAGTGAAATGATTAACAAAACACTCACCAAAATATAAGTTTTCGAAGCTCCTTATGAAGAAATCTTGAAAAATCTCCAAGCTATACAAGTCTAAATTTCTATTTCCGAACTTAGTTAGATGAGAGTTAAGGTTTCTATCATATCTGAGTAATTAGTCTTGCTTACAAAATATAGTACAATAACTATTTTCATACTGAAGAAAACAGTTTGGAATTTACTTCTGAAATACCATGCAATGCAATTATTTCATCACTTCGAGTAAGTATACAGCAAAGGAAGCACATTTACCCTGACCATTTGAGAGGGGGAACCAGCATAGGCATGTATGGGATCACTGCATATCTCCCCTGCACAACAAAAAAAGGCGATATTCACACTTCCTACAATATAAATTAGATGCCTCAGTTATACCTTAATCATGTGTATTTAGTCTTATCTACAGGCGCCACCCTACTCAAATCATCTTTAGATATAACATTCAACAAAATTAACAAAGATTACTCTGAGTTGAGAAAGATATACACCGTTACTTTTGTTCATATTGAGTTAAATCCAATCTGACTGATAAAACCAAACAAGAATAGGTCACCTACAGATTTTTCCAAGCCTTTGCGAACCAAAGGGTCACACTGGAGTACACCATATTTTCTCCCATTTTTCCTGTTATACAAGAAAGGCTGAAATATGAGCCTATGACATTCAGGACAAGAAGATAAGCACTACTTCAAACATAGACCAAATCTCCTCACATGTTTCCTTTCGCTACTGTCTTCATGGTATGCACAAATGCAGGTCGTACATCAGGCAGGTCATTATCCTCCTCAGTAGCTGGAGATTGTATATAAGCTGTTCTTACCAACAACTCTATTAGACGGCTTCCAACCTGGGATATGAATTAGCAAATATCAAAACATTAGCAACTTATGCGGCCAACATAAGCTTTCTTAGCTTCCTCAACAATTTCGCAGCAAAGCATAAACACACCTTAGCCCTAGCATCTGCGTTCCATGGCTTTGTATAGTCATGTGACTGCAACAGTTTTCTAACTGCTGTCAACTTCTGTTTCTTTATCAACTCATTGACCTTTTTTCTTAACTTCTCTTGTTCCTTCACTGCGGTTCCATTTTCCACTTCCCCGTTCTCCTCATTGTCATCCCCTTTTTTCTTCCTCGTCTTATCCAGAAATGTGCATATCCTTATCTATCCAATCACGAC